TTGAGAGTCCCTCCTTTGGTGACAGTAACTCTAGTATCCTCCTGTAGTCTCATTGTCCCCTTAATTCTGTCTAGTTGACATACATGCATACCACCTTGTTTTAAAATACGTTTTTTTTTTTAATCCTACTTTGGGGGAAGAATCACAGCCTCAGGGAAGTAATATACCCATGGGGCCTTAGCTGGGTTGTGAATAGTTGCGTGTGTGCCACTCTGAGCTCAGGCTAGAATGTCCGGTCATCTTTGCATGGGTCCTGTGGCTCTGCCAGCAACTGAGCGGATGCCTATGGGTGCCTCCAGAAGAGCATCTTGCGCTGGGATTGAGCGCCACCTGGTGGCCTCTAGAGAGAAAATTCTTGGGAAGGAAAGAAGGCGGGTGGGGAGGACTGCCTTCAGGCTTTTGTTTTTCTCTTCTTTATCTCCTTTTCCTCCTTTCTTCTTTCTTCCTTTCTTTTTCTTATTTCTTTATCTTTCTTCTTCCTTTCTTTTTTCTTCCTTCCTTCCTCCCTTCTTTCTTCCTTTTCTTCTCTCTCTCCCTTTTTCCTTCTTTCCTTCCTTCCTTCCTTCCTTCTTTCCTTCCTTCCTTCCTCCCTTCCTCTCTTTTTTCATTTTTATTCATTCATCTATTTATTTTACATCCCACCCGCAGCTTCTCCCCATTCCCCTCCCTTTCCCCTTAAATTCCCTCCTTTTCTCTCTCCAGCCAGGAAAGGGTACGTACGTCTCCTGCGAGAATCAATAAAACATGGCAAATCAAGTTGCAGTAAGACTAAGCACATCCCCATATATTAAGGCTGGACAAGGAGACCTAGTATGGGAAGTAGGGTCCTAAAAGCCAGTTAAAGAGTCAGAGACAGCCCCTGTTCCCATAAGAGGACCAAACTACACAACTGTAACATATACGCAGAGTGCCTAGGTCAGTCCCATGCAGGCTCCCTGGTTGTCAGTTTAGTCTCTGTGAACCCTATGAGCCTAGGATAGTTGATTCTGTGAGTTAGTTGATTCCTGTGGTGTCCTTGACCCCTTTGGCTCCACACTCCTTTCTCCTCCTCCTCTGCAGGATTCCCAAACTTTGGCTAATGTTTAGCTATGGGTCTCTGCATCTGCCTCCATCAGTTGCTGGATGATGCCTCTCTGATAACAGCTGGGCCAGGCAACAGTCTGATCACAGGCGATGGCCAGTTCAAGCTACTTATCCACTATTGTTAGGAGTCTGTGCTTGGGTTCTCCATAGAGGCCTTTTTTCTAGAGGTGAAAGCAGAACTTTGTTATTAGAGGACTGAGCATAAATGTTTTGCAAACACTTTTCTCTCGTGTGTTTGAGACAGGGCCTAGCTGTATAGCCCAGGCTACCTTAGACTCACAATTCTCCTGCTTTGGTCACCTGACTGCTGGGATGGAGGATGTTCACCTCCATCCCTGGCTTAACTGTGGTGTGTGTGTGTGTTCATGTCAGCGTGGTGGGGCACGCCCCAGCATGAATGTGGAGGTCGGAGGAAAACCTGGGTTTTTTATCTTCCATGCTGTTTGAACAGGGTATCTGTTATTGGTCACACCAGATTAACCGGTCTGAGGGCTTCTGGGGATTTTTTGGTCTTCAGGTCAGGAGTCCTGGGATGACAGATGTGTTACTGCATCTAGGTTCCACAGGGTGCTGGGGATTTGAACTCAGGTCCTCGTATGAGCATGGCAAGCACTTTACTCTCTGAGCCATCCCTTCTACCCAAGTGCACTTTAAAGCTTGGCACACTTGTACGGAAGGTGGAAACTCCCCTGTAACATCCCATCAAGAGGTCATAGTCTCCCATCCTGCATCCCACAGGACAACTCCGCCCTGGTTTCTAACACTAAATTGCTGGTTGAAGGCTGTGTTAAATGGGAATCAAGGTACAGTCCCTTGAGTTCTGATACTTCGACATGATGCTGTTGATACGTTTGACCTGGTCAGTTTTTACATGGGTTCTGGTTTCCCTATGGTAGAGATTGTGTGAACGGACCCCAGGTCTTGTGGCGATGGGTCCCAGACCTGATTCCAGCCTTTGGTTATACCAAACAAGGCTGCTACGAACAGCTAGCATGCTTCTTGTGCCCACGTGGGTATGTGTGCTGACATGCACCAATAGGAAACGCTGGACCATGGGGTCGTTACGTGCAGCTGAGAGTACTCAAGGCTTTGCATGAGAGTTCTGGTTGCTCCATACAGCCCTCTGGCAATTGTCGCTGTCATCTGTGGTCATCCTGTTAGCTGTGCAATGGCATTTCATCTGTAGATATTGTGTATTTGTGCCATATCATTTGTATATGACAGGGAGAATTTGGGGGAGTTTATTAGCCACTTAACTACCGTCTTGTGAAATGCCTACATGCTAGCTAAACTTTTGACGGTTTCCGGTTTGGCGATCCTGTTCTTGATGTATACATGGAGTCAGATCATCTGGAGACTTGGAGACTGTCAGACACTCATCTCCCACTTGGAGCAGTCACACTGATGTCCTTTATTGAGTAGAGTTTTTCATTTTAATACTTCATTCAGTTATGGGACTTTTTGTGTCCTGAGGTTTTTTTCCCCCATTCTCCAAGGTCAGGGAGGGCTTGGTAAGTTTGTTTTCAAAGCAGCCGCCACCTGCACCCATCTGGAATTGAATTTTGCTTATGATGAGGCAGAGGGTCGATGCGTTTTCCATATGGATATTGAAGCGGCTGCCCGATCTGCTGGGAAGATCAGTCTGGCTTCTGGTGTGCCGTGTCACCATGGACATGACAGAGCGAATCTGTTTCTGATGTGTGTGTCTGCTTCTGGGGAGAGTGGCGTAACTGTACCGGCTGCAGGAAATTCCAGAGTTTATGAGGCCTCAGAAAACCTGGTGCACTGTGGGTGATGTTGTCTGAGCCCAGCCTGGGCCTGGCTGGGGCATATCCCTTTTTCTGTGCTGACTGTACTGTGAGCTTGGACTTACTGTGGGCTCTTAGGCCAGGTTATTAGGAAACTAATTTGTGCTGTGGGTTCCTTCCTGGAAAGCCGCTGGCCTCACAGAGCACCCACGGAGACTCCTCGGTTGTAGGTGGAACCATTCTGAGCTGAGCCCCAAGGGAATGGCTGCTTTGCTATCTAGGTGTGTCTGGGTCTGGGAGATGGCTCCCCACTGCCCTGAAGAGGATGCAGAGGCACAGAGTCCCCTGGGGATGTGGCTCATGGCAGCAGGAGTTGGGCTCAGCCTCCTACTGTCATACTAGTGAAAACTTCATGGAGATTCTCAAGTCCAGGAACAGGGAGGGACCTGGGGGCTTGAAGAATCCTCCTGAGACCTGGTTCAGGGTGGACACACAGAGTGAGGAACAGTGGGGTGGTTCTGCCACATGGGGCTACCAGCTTGGGGGAGACAGTGTGCCTGAGAGGGTCAGGTCAGAGAGGATGGTGGGGCGTGGGCTCCAGTGAGAGCTCTGCCAGGAGTTTGGGGGGACCTTGAGGGAACTCTGCCTGCAGCTCCCTGAAAGATCTGCTGGAATCCTGAAACACCGCCTTGTTTGAAAACAGGGCCTTCCTAAGATTGGCAGCTTGAGATGGGATAATTCTGTGAGCCCTAATGGTTAAGACCTGAGAGAAACACAGAGAAGCATAGCCACATCGGTGCCTTGATTTTGGGCCGCCAGCACTCAGAGCTCCGCAACAGGAAGTCTGTGAGCAGGGCTGGTCAGTGCCCCTACCTGCTGTGCCCTGCCTTCCCCACATTTCCTGTTTGGTTCCTTGCTGAGCATGGAAGTCACGCTGTAGGGGCTGAGGGTGACTCCAAGCAACTCCAGCTCTGGCCTTCTCTTTCTCTCCCTCAGGTAATCTGTGACCCAGGGTGACACAGTGTATCCGGAGATCTATCCCTTATGCTCATGCCCAGTCAAGTGACAGATTATTCCAGCCTTGCCTCATTTGCTCCAACACTATTACCCTGGTTTAATTTTTCATGATTAATCACAGCAATGGCTGGTTTCTAACACTGACCCAGGCAGGTCCCTTGCAACGCTACTTTATGATTCTTTCCTTTGATGGATCCGGGCTAGTCTCAACCTCTGCATCTGAGCTAACCTTGGCACTTGCCAGCACGAGCTGGAATGCAACGTAATTAAGTCCTAATCCTGACCCCCGTCCTCAGGTCCTTGCCACCTATTAGAACACAGACACTCCAGCAACACAAGCCCAGGCTTGTCTGTCAGGGCAGAGAACAGCCATCCTGGACAGGACTGCCCAACACCAGCCAGCCCTAGCTGACCCACTAATTGAGCCTGACACAGGCAGACAGCCTAGGTCTGCTAAGGCCACTGGCAGCACCACTGCTTAGCGGGGCCTGTAGTCTTGTGGAAAGTGAGAGCTCTAAACTGTGTTTAGGGGTGACTTGTTACACAGCCATAGCTCACCGATATAATGTCTCAGCTAACTTCCAGATGTTCCTTTCCACATCTTCAGATATGAGAGCCTGGCCCTTGTCACTGCAGATGCTAGGCTGTCTCTGTAGTTCCTGGGAGTGTAGCACTCCCGGATTTCTGGTGATGAGCATCCCAAGTCTCCCCTCCCACTGAGTTCAAATTACACAGAGGTAAGAGCGTGTCTGCTCCCACTCACATCATGTCCTCAGCCTTCTACCAGATCAGCACACAGCTGGTGCACACCGGAGGGTTGCAGAACAAGGCTGGTATTTCTTTGCTCTGTTCTTGCTGTTCGTGTTCCCTCCACCCAGACTTAACTGCCTTCTATATTATCCTGGCCTCTGAGCTTTTGCCTGCTCTGTTCTCTCTGCCTGCCCTTCCCTCTCTCATACAGATCTGGACATTCTTGTTTCTCAATAAAAGTAGCTTCCAGCCGGGTGGTGGTGGCTCATGTCTTTAATCCCAGCACTCAAGAGACAGAGATATGCGATCTCTGTTAGCTAAGGACAGCCTGGTCTACAAAGCCAGGACTGCTACACAAAGAAACCCTGTCTGGAAAACCAAACAGCGCCCCCCCCCCCCAAAAAAAAAGAAAGAAAGAAACTAACAAACAAAAGTAGCTTCCGCAACCAGGAAGCCTTTCCTCTGTAGCTCTAAGATCTCCTATCCAGGGATCTGACTCCATTTTGTATCCAGAGCTGCCCACCAGCTCATGGGACTAAAAGCCCCAGGGGTGGGATAAGGGATCCCAAACCACCCTCTTGGGATTACCTACCCTCTACACTTCCCCGAGAGTGAGGGTTCACTAGCTTTCCCCCTGGGGACTTTGTGTTGCACACAGATCCCAGGGCATGTGGGACAGAGCTTTAGGACAAGCTGATCTGGTTCCATCAGTGGGTCCTGGGGTCTTAGTAGATTGCAAGAGGAATCCAGCAAGCTTTGTAGTACAGCTGGTGGGGAAAGGACGACTAACAAATACAATTGGTGTGACCATGAAGTCAGTCCTTACAAGAGAGGACTTCAGCCACCAGCCTCGGGCTTACACGAGGGCCAGTTCCCCACACAGCTGTGCCCTTCATAGGGCAGTGGCTTGTAAGCCAGACAGCTGTTCAGCTTTTTCTCCTCTCTCAAGTTCTCTAGGGACTTGAGGCCCTGTTTCCTTGCTCAAGAAGCATTTAAAAAAAAAAACAAAAAACCTTTGTACTCCCCCTCTCCCCATTATGGTGTTTTAGTTAGTGCCTCATGCAACTCCAAGCTGGCCTCGTGCTTTAACTCTTGATCCCCCTGCCTCCACCTGTGAAGGAATACAGGCAAATGCCACTGCACCCAGCAAGCTTTCTCTAGGGGGCTCTCTTCCCATTACTCCTTGTCTGCTGCAAGGTGGAGCCGAGGACAAAGTTGACACCAGCTAGTGATGATGCTCTTGACTTGTTGGCCTGGTGCGGTTTAGAGAGAAGCTAGTCGGTGGCGGGGTGCTCAGCCCACATGGGGTGAGGCTCCGGTGGTGGGCAGTGCAGTTAGAGCGCCGTGCTCAAGCGACGGTCGAATATCTTCTTGGAGTCTATCTCGGACTCCACCATGTGTGGGTGGATGTCCACGTCCATCCCTGCGTCTTTGCACAGCTTGATCAAGGTCTTGACGTTGTTCTTGGACAAACGCAGGTACCTTCAAGAGAAGGTAGGAAGAGGTGAGAAGGAGCTGTGGGACCCAACTTTCACTAGAAATGGGTTGGCTTGGGGCTGGGTGTAGTGGCGTACACCTTTAATCCCAGCACTCAGGAGGCAGAGGCTGGCGGATCTCTGAGCTTGAGGCCAGCCTGGTCTACAGAGTGAGTTTTGGGACAGAAAGAGTTACATGGTGAGACCCTGTCTCAAGAAAGGGTGGGGGTACGGGTTGACTTCAGGCAGCAAGAGACCTTGGCCTGGCTCCCTGTGTGTGTCCCTGATAGAAGGGCACCCCGCAGGTGGCAGAGGTGGCAGGAGCTCGTGGTACTGTAACTCTTGGGACTCAACCTGCCAGGCATCACCCTGGTTATCTCCAGAGAAAACAGGCTAATGTTCATTGGTTCAAGCACTACACTCAGCATGTGGTCCGTGGAAGTCAAGGAGGCTCTGCCGTGGAAAGACAGGTGTTTATTTGGGGAATGAGGTCGTTCGTTCATCAACAGAGTGACAGTCAGGTAAAGAATGGGCCACCCGTTTGGAAGACACAATTAAAATGGCACCAGGAAGAAAGAGTCCATGGCTAATGTGGGGTGTGGGTGCGTGTTAGTTTGGGTGGGATGTGGTATGATCACTGCTGCAGGCAGGGGTTCTCAGTCAAGGCTGGGGGCCTCGAGCATGCGTACACAGAGCTGCATGAACAGGCATGAGTGCCTTCCTCTGATACGCACGCAGTTAAACAAGACCATTGATTTAAAATGCGTTCTAAAGCCTTGTAATCCTGACTTCTGCTAAGAAGTGAAATTGATCCCATCTGTGCTGTGGGATCCAGATAGAGCTCCTGGTTCCACTGTCAACCTTGACCTCAGGGCCAACTTCATATTTAATCATCTATCTATCTATCTATCTATCTATCTATCTATCTATCTATTTATCTTGAGACAGGATCTCATTATGTAGCTCAGGCAGCCTCAAACACACAATCCTCCTGCCTCAACTCCTGAGTGCTGGGATAATGGTGTGTGCTAATCTGCTGACTTCTTGGTACCAGTTTTAGTAGAAGGGGGATGCTACCAGCCACCTGCTGGCTAGTTATGGGTAACAGAGAGGTGCTGTCTTGCCATTAACGGGCTTTCTGCTTTGCCTGTGCTTGGGTTCTGTCCCTGGACTGCCTTTGCTTGTGGCCTCAGTTCCCTGGACCCCAGGGCAGCCTGCCGGGGAGGTATGGGTGGGCTGGCGTGTGATGTCCTTAAGACCCCATTGCACCATCTCACCCTTGTGTTAGATGCCTCCCCAATGACTTTATAGATGTCACCTGCCCCAGTGCTCCTGACCTCTGCGGGAAAGAACTCCCACTGTGGAGCCAGGGCCAATTAGAGCCACATCATGACTTGTCCCTGCAAGGAGGGCGGTCTCAGGTGTTTCCTCTCACTGACTCCATCCCTGCTCCATCTCTTAGTCTCCAGGAGCAACGGGCAGCACACACCTGAGCCGTGTGGCTGGTCTTTCACCCAAGATGGTTATATTGCTGCCAGCTTGTCGAGGGTGGCCCTGTTATCCTGTTGCCTCAATTCCTCCTCAGCTAAAGGTTTTTTTAACTTTGCCTATTACGCCAGTTAAGGATGACACCGGCCGTGGGTGTTTTTGGAGGACAGACCTGGTGATACGGTATGGATGGAGAGCAAGCGAGAGGTGAGGCTGTGTGGGAGAGCTTTGCCTAGCTCGTGAAAGGCCCCGGGTCCTATTCCAGCAGTGGAGAAGGAAGAGGGGAATACAGAAACCAAACAGTCTGTGGCCATCTTGGGAATCTAAATCCCTAACATAGCAGAAAGTCCCTGGAGACAGTGACACTATGAGAAATGTCCCCTGTAGGCTCTGGTGTTCGAATACTTGGCCTTCCAGTGGATGGCACTGTTTGGAGAGGTTTATGAGGGAGGGGCCTCAGTGGAGGAAGTGTGTCATTGGGGGCAGGCTCTGAGACCTTAAAACCTCACCCAACATCTTGTGTGTACCCTGCTTCTTGCTCATGTTTGAAGGTATGAGCTCTCGACTTCTTATTCCTGACACCAGGCCTGCTGCTACTACTTGCCGATGGGCCTTCCTGTCATGACAGACTCTCATCCCTCTGGAACCATAAACCCAAATAATCTCCTTCTCACATAGGTTGCCTTGGTGGTGGCATTTACCAGAGCAGCAGAAGAGCAACCAGTACAGATACTGTCACTCAGATTCAGCAGAGTGAAGGGACTCAGGGTTTTGGTCTTGTGGCAATCCTTTGGCAGCTAGAGTCAGGTAGGGACGAGCTGGTTCCCTCTGAGTTCAAAAATGCGTTCACACACTGCTGACTTAGGCCTGCCCCCTCCATGTCTCAGTGTGGGTCTATCACCTGATGTCCTAGGCCTGCCCTCACCATGGTCAAGCATACATGCATTCACACGCTGCTCTTCTCAGCCTGCCCATGCACCCCAGTGGCGCTCACCGGCAGCTCAGCACCTCCTCTGGCTTCAGCATCTTAGCTGTCTCCATCTTGGGCTCTGTGCCCTTCTCCATGAGGCTCTTTAGCTTGCGATCGTAGTTGTCGGGAGCCTTGCTTGGCCAGTCTCTCATCAGGCCTGACCTCCGTGTGCCAAACATAGTTTCCTGGAGTATAGGATCTATGGAGCTTTGTCTACGGAATGGGTTGACCCGAGTGTTGGTTTCTAGGGCTATGACATCCTTGATGTCTAAGTCTGAAATGGGAAGATGCCGCCAGGGGGTTAGATTCTGGGAGAGATGAGAGTTGGGCAGGGTAGGGGGAAGGAGGGAGCCAGAAGAATGAATGGGCTCCTTGTCGCTGCTCTGAGACCTTGGCACGAGCTCCTGCAGGGCTGCACCTAATCCTAGTTCATCCTCCGCTCTCCCAGCCTTCCTGCCCGCCTTCCTGCCTGCCTTCCACCTTGCCCCTTGCTTTCATTCTTTTCTGTCCTCCCTCTCCAGAGGAAGTTTATCCAATGGGAATTAACCGGGAAGGGGAAGAAGTCAGAAGAGGTGAGTGTTGAGCAGCAGCTTATGGAGTTGGGTCACACAGCAGGTGGCGTGTCAGGCAGAGGAACAGGGTATAGCTGCATAGATCTAGGAAGTCGGAATGTCTGACATGACCCAAACACGAAGCTAAAGCTGGGGCGCCTCCGCTGTTCCTTGTTGGAGTCTGTGTGGTTTACAGAACCCTCAGATGGCACACCGTCTCCTCAGCCCACTTCTAATCCGTGCGATCGATGCAGAGAGAATTCTATTGCTTCAAAAAAACACCATCAATTAGAATGTCCTGAGTTTTGCAAATATTTTGGAAAAATCAAAATATCTTTCATTATTTGTATTCTTTTTGTACATAAAAAATTATGTATTCTTGGCACACTACATTTGACAGTCTAAAACAGTTAAGGGTTACAGGCTGAAGGACATCCCATTTTGGTTCACGCTTTGATTAAAATGACGTTAGCTTCCTATCACTATGAATGAGATTGGCCAGTTTCCTTTATTTTATAATAATTCTTTTTTTGCTTTATGTTTTTTTTGAAACAAGGTTCCTCTATGCATTCCTGGCTGTCCTAGAACTCACTCTGTAGATCAGGTTGCCTCGAACTCACAGAGATCTACCTGCCTCTGCCTCCCAAGTGCTGGGATTAAAGGCTTGTGCTACCACTGCCCAGTTTATTTTATAATTTTTATTGATAAGGTTGCTTCATTTTATGTATGGCATTTTCATTTATGATACCCTTTTGTGGCTTTTCCCTTACTTGGTTGCAGTAAGTGCTGGCCCGCAGGGTCCATTGCCCACCTGATGCAGCCTGCCCAGTCAATCAACGGAGGGCTAGTGTTTACTTCAGACAGGATGTATTTTCATGGGTTAGGTGTATTTGAGATTATTTTTTTTTAAGTATTTCTTGCATCTATATTACTGTAAGTTTGGTGTAGTGACTTTTGGTATAATGTTACTATAGAGTTATGATGGTTTGTTAGGTTGATACAGAAATGTCCAGGTCCTCAGTGCATGAGCGGCAGTGGGTTATTGGCCCTTTACAGGCCAATTACAACCTGTATCATACAGGCTGCAACCTTTATAACTTGGCAGATGCAATAAGTAAGTAAGTAAGTAAGTAAGTAAGTAAATAAATAAAACAAACTTGCAAATAGACTTAGCATGGGGGCACATGAGTTTCTTTTCCACAGGACTCAGGTTTGTTTTGTTAGTGACACTTTGTGTCACTTGTAACTCGCTTTTCATGGTGATTCTCATGTCCCTACTTGTGTAAGTGTAGAAACATAAGTTATTGCTCTTGCTGTTTGTTTTATGTAGTCTCTCTGTGAATGCATTTTGCTTTGCCCAGAGGTTTTGGAATGAAATAGGCTTGTTTTCATTAGTTATTCAAGAGGTGGGTAATTTTTTTAAATGCATTTCTTTTCTATTTTTGTCAAGACGAGGTTTCTCTGTGTAACAGCCCTGGCTGTCCTAGAACTCACTCTGTAGACCAGGCTGACCTCAAACTCACAGAGATCTTCTTGACTCTGCCTCTTGTGTGCTGGGATTAAGGGAATGCTCCACTATGCCCAGCTTTGTTATGAATTTCTTTGTCTCCATTTTTTTTGGTATCTTTTAACTTTATTTCTTGTGATTGCTTTTGGATAAAATAGATGTTTCTAACATCCTATGCTTTAGGGATCTGGGAGTTGACTCAGGGTTTTAAGCCCCATATTGCTCTTTCAGAGGACCCAAGTTCAGTTCCCAGCACCCATGTCAGGTGGTTCACAACCACCTGGAACTCCAGCTTCAGGGATCTCCTTCTGACCTCTGAAGACAAGCATGTGCAAAACCACACTCAGGCATATGTGCTTATGTATAGCTTGAAAAAAATAAAAACAAATCTTTAAAATAAAATCTTTATGCACTGGGGAAACTTTTTTGTTGTGAAGTTTATAGGTGGTGTTGACAAATATTGGCAATGTAAGATCTATGCGGTTTAAATGTGAGTCTATATCATCTGCAACTGCATGACTGCATTTGTTAAAGCACTTCCTGTTAGAGCTCTTTATTTTGAAAGAGGAATGCTTACGATTTCCTAAGTACTCATATTTTAGAAAAAAAATTATTTTATGTGTGTGAGTAAACACTGTTTGTCAGTCCGCTGTGTGTGCACCTGATGCCCAAGGATGCCAGCAGAGGGCGCCAGATCCCCTGGAACTGGTGTTACAGTTCTGAGTCACCACATGGGTGCTGGGGACCAAACCCCACTCCTCTGCCAGAACAGCCAGGGAGGACTCTTAACCACGGATCCATCTCCCCAGTCCCATACTATATTTTAAAGGGTTCTCTTGGAGTTTTCCATGTCTGCTTTCCCTATTTAGTTACCCTTTCTGGTGCCCATGGCTGTGGGAGGTTCTTATGTATTCTTTAACATGTAAGAATATCTATTGCTACTTTCCTGTGCCTCTTTCTTTTTTTAAAAAAAAATTTATTTATTTATTTATTTATTTATTTATTTATTTATTATGTGTGCAATGTTCTGCCAGCATGTATCCTTGCAGGCCAGAAGGGGGCACCATATCTCATTACAGATGGTTGTGAGCCACCATGTAGTTGCTGGGAATTGAACTCAGGACCTCTGGAAGAACAGCCAGTGCTCTTAACCTGTGAGCCATCTCTCCAGCCCATTCTTGTGCCTCTTTCTCCCTCGTTCTACCCCATCTCATTTGCATTTCCTTGTTATTTCCACCTTAGTTCTTGTTCTCAAGTTTTAAAGTCATCTGGTTTAAAGGATGCACCTGAATTTTGCCTTTTAAATCTGCTGCTGGTAGATTTGCTTTCTTTGGTGGCATCTCCTGCAGACAGAGACATACATGCCTGTGCATGTAACACATCTTCAAACTTGCAGAGGCCATCCAGTCACCCTGATGTGATGCTGGTGTGTTTGGGACAGGTTTAGGAGCTGTGGAATCTAAAGGATTCCAGCACAGCTTCCAATATCATGCCAGGTTGATTTTTCCCCCTTTACAAGTAAACTTCTCTGTAGGCTTTCATGTTTTCACTGACACAGTGCAGGAATTTTACCAGAATGTGCTTATGGGAAATGGGTCCAGATTCCCTGCGAGGGGCAATGGACTTGCCTCAGATGGGGATGTAGAACTTAGAACACTTCATGCCCCATATGGTGCTCTGGCCTGTGGCTGGTCCCTGACAGGGTGGCTGGCTTGGGAGGTCTCAGAAGTGTCTGTCTATGCATGGTGGGGTTGGTGCTATGCTCTGAGGGGCCATGGTCTTAGTGTCCTCTTTGAAACTCAGAGATCTTAGAGTAAGAACATATACTTTCCTGCATTCTCTGATCCTCTTCTTGATCCAGATGTGCCTACGGTGCAAAGAACAGCAACAGTATTAAAGGTTATGGCAATTCAAGGGCTTTCTGGGGGTTACACTAGCTTCACAATCATATCATATACATTCAGCCAGTGAGTGAGTAGGTTAAAGGTCATGCACCCAAGACCCCCACATCTAATGCACGGTGAGCCCAGGATGTTGGTACCTTTTCCTGGAAGCCTGTCCTGACCATTCTGAATAATATGGTCCCTGCTTCTGGTAACTTAGATTTTCCCCAGACCACATTTGGGACTGCAGAGATGACTGTCTATCCATGCAGACAAAGGGTGCATGTGTGCAGCCAGCATTCTTAGTCTCTCCCATTAGAATGCACCCTTGGCCTAAAGCCACAGAATACACACAGGCACTGGTGATTGGCCACCAGAAGCCTCTTGCTAGTATTCAGACTTCTCCAGGTCTTTGTCATGGAATATGTTCCATGCTTTCCTAGAATCTTTCACTGGCCTCTCTCCAGGGTGACCATTCTAAAACTCAAATACAACTCAGTAGTCCCCTTCTTAAAGCACCCCATAGGCTCACCATTGTATTTCTTTCTTTTTTTTAGTCCATACATTTTTCTTTGCAATGAGTCATTGGTCTTGTCTGAGGCCTCTGACTTCTGTTACACTATCAATACTGGTCCTCATTGGGACTCTGCTTGGATATCCTGTTGCTGCCCTGTGTCGTGGAGATCCTGTGACATTGGATCTGCAGGACTGACCCCTTCACATGTTCCAGCAGTTCATAGATGGGGTGGATGTTAGGGTAGGCCAACTCAGCCCTGAATCTGGACCTGGGTGGCAGCTGAATTGGTCAGTTCACCAGCTCTCCTGTATTCTCCCTCCAGCACTGCCCCAGCTAGTGCACCCGATAGCAAGGTTGCCATTGTATTTCAAGCAGGCTTAAATTCTGGAAAAATAAACTGAGACTTTTGCCAAGAGTTGGATAATAGAAAGTGAATGTTTGACTTCCAACACAATTAGAAATCTGGGCATTGTAAGAATTTGCAGCATTAAGACAGCAAACAACAGGCAGCATGAGACAGGAGAGGAACCAAGAGTGTTAAGTCCCGTGACTGCCCCAGGTCGCGGCAGGTCCATCCTTCCAGGATAATAGGAGTGGGCCACGTAGGGGAACCCGGATAGTGACAGGAGATGTTTCTACAGACTGCAGCAGAGTGTGGGAAAGCCCCTCAGCTCAGTGCCGATCAGCCATTGTGGTGAAGGAAGGGACATGGTGATAGAAACGGTAAATCAGAACTGGGTAGTGGTGGTACATTCCTTTAATCCCAGCACTTGCAGGGCAGAAGGAGGTGGATCTCTGTGAGTTCAAGGCCAGTCTGATCTACAGAGCTAGTTCTAGGACAGAGCTACACAGAGAAACCCTATTTTGAAAAACAGAAACAAAAAAAAAGAAATAATAGATCAGGAAAAGACTATATCTACATTTAGGAGAGGTAGTCTCATGTAGCCCAGGCTAGTCTTGATGCTATATAGAGGAGGGTGACCTTGAATTCCTGAACTTCCTACCTCCACCTCCTAAGTGGTGGGATTACAGAGGTGTGACGTCAGGCTTGGTTCTATGTGATGGTGCTGGGGACTGAACTTAAGACGCTGTGCATGTTAGGCAAGCACTCTACCTGTTGAGCCACATCCCCAGTCTAGAAATATCTATTTAAATGTACCATTGTGCTCACCAAGGAAGGCCTGAGCATGCTAGGGGAGACACAGAAGACTCACAGTGATCCAGACTGAACTTCTAGAGATGAAAATATCAGTGTTTGAAATGAAAAATATATGAGATTAATAGAAGATTGAGCATTGCAGAAGAAAGGAACCTCAGGGGCTAGCTGCAGAGATTATACAAAATAACCCGGGAAAAGAGAAGGTCAAAAGACGAAACTAGTGAGTCAAGGAACTTTATGTGTGATTGGCGTATCTGAAAGACAGAGAAAAAGTGGGGAACTAGATTAAAAATTAATGGCTAAAATGTTGCAAATTTGTTATAAACTAGCAACCAAGAATGCCTACAAACCTCACACTCAAGTGTAAGAATTATGAAGCAAATGACATCAGGCTCAGCACTGAGAAATCGTGCAGAGGAAAATATTTAAAGAACACCTAGGAATGAGGTAGGTCCAGCTTCGGGGGCAATAGTTTCTAGCCTCTGCTGGCAACCAGGAGTTCAGTGTGGCAGGAGTTGATAGAGGCCTGGGAGGAGAAAAGGGCCACAGCCAGGAGGGCACAAAGGTGAAATAAAGACCTCTTCAAATATGCAGAAGCTGCAAGAATTTACACTCTTATTCAGATCCGTTAAAAGTTTCCAGGAAAGGAAAATTACTCCAGTCAGAATTCTGGATTTATGCAAAGGAATGAACTCTTGGAATGCAGGAGAATGCATGCCTTGTTTAAATGTATTAAGAACAGAACAGAACAAAAAACCAAACCAAAAAACAAAGCCCCAAATCCCAACGATGCATCGTGGGTTTGTAAGACAAGGAGAACTCTGGTGCTGGCAGACAACACGGGGGCAGTAGGGGCAGCACAGGAAATGTGTTCTTGTAGGTTCCTTTGTGCTGCCAGGAAGAGAACATGGCTATGAGAAGTCAAGTGCATGTTCAGGCAAGACTCCATCACTGCCACAGTACAAGGTTATAGTTGACAAACCGAGAAAGATGGAACAGGAACAAAATCACCCACGGGACAGGTAAAAAGGAGGGCAGGAGTGGACAGAATCCTTTAAAAACAAATACCAGAATAGCGGTTTGCAAACCCAGCCACAGCAGCAGTACTGGTGTGTTCACTTAATTTGACAATTCTTACAGCGCTGTTGAGGTATAACTGACAGATACTTTTGCTCATATTTAAAGTGGATATGTTGATTTGATGTACATATGATAACAAAGTCATATTAATATACCCAAGACCATGGTTACATTCCTTGTGTAGGCAGTTAAGATCAACTCTCTTAGCAAATCTGAAGTATGTAATACTCTATTGTTTGCTACAGTATAGTGACTTCAAGTGTCTAATGCAGGGCTAACTACGCTCACCATGAATACACTGTATTAGAGCCCAAGGGTAGGGGCACAGAGGTCTTTGTGCTCACGCAAGCGTTAGGGGAGCCTGGAATGCCAAGCACTGAGGATAGTTCCTTCAATGGAAGAAATGTGAGACCTGTTATCCGCCCAGAAGGCTGAAGTGGACTGCTTTCTAACCTGGACCTTTGTGATATCTCTGTGGCTGGAGACTTTTCCGGCACCGGATCCTCCCCCAGACCCTTATCCTAATTTTCAGTCAATCTATAGAACTTTATCTTTATTGGATCTTACAGAGTGTCCATGTAATCACGTCTGATCTGTGTTTGGCTTACTTTGTTCCTCAAGGAGATTTACGTGTGCTTTGTTGAACACGTGGGACTGAGTTAATTTTCAGGAGAATAGTTTCCACCAAATTGTGCTGTGCTTAAGTATGTCTAAAATAAACCCTCAGGGTCAGACTCCTGAAGTTTGAACCAACAATGGCTACTGAGTTGTGTTGAACCAAACTGCCTTCTTGCCTCCCTCGGCTTGGCACTCTGCCATCCAGGAAGGTCTCAGAGACTATGACACCCAAAATCTTTGTCTTGTACCGAACATGTATACCTTTGACATGAATGTACCCTTTCCGCCACTCCAGGCCCTTGGTAGGCACCATTCTCCTGCTTCTCAAAGCTCAAGCATTTAGATCTGTACAGATACAGGCTCTCACCATGTTTGTCTTTCTCCAACCTTTCTCTCAGCCCACAGCCTTCTCAAGTCATTTGCGTTGTTAATGACAGAAGTGACTTCTTTCTCATGCCCAACTAGCATTCTATTGCACGCACACATCTGATTGCCTGATTTTAGTATTTTCGTTTATGTATTAATTTTTGTGTGTATGAATGTTTTGCCTGCACCTATATGTTTGCCACGTGTGTGCCTGGTACCTGTGGAGGTCGGAAGAGGGCATTGGATCCCCTGGAATTGGAGTTACAGATGGTTGTGAGCCACCATGTGGACGCTGGGAATCGAACCTCGATCCTCTGCAAGAGTAGCCAGTGCTCTCAACTGCTGAACCATCTCTCCAGCCCCCTCACCTTTTATCCACACACCCGTCAGCACACACTTAGGCTGTTCCCACTTCTTGGCTGCTGTGGCTAGCGCTGCCTTGAAGGCGTGATGCCTGGCTGTGTATCCTCAGTGGGGTAGGTGGACCAGAGGGCGATTTGCTTCTTTAATTTTTGAAAGGTAGTTTCATGTTTTCCAAAATTCTCTGCCAACTTACAGTCTCACCGACAGCAAGAAGTTCTCTTCTCTCCACACCCTTGCTGACAGTTGTTTTACTTGTCTTTTGACACTGGTCATTCTGTGAGGTTATGAGATGGTATTTACTGTGACTTTGGCTACTTATATTATTTAGTGTTTTCTAGGGGACCAGAATTTATAGATTGAATCTCTCCATATGTATCTCTCTCTATATATATTACATACAATATCATGTATATTATATATATTTTATGTATCATATCTCTCCCTATAATACATATTTTTAGAAATAAAATTTATTCTAATAATATGCATGTTTATAATATATAACATACAGTACATATATACATTATAATATATAGACATATATAACATGCAGATTATATATTACATATTGAAGCACAGATATATTAGACATATAAAGGGATTTATTAGAATGACTTACAGGCTGTGGCCTAGCTAGTTCAACAGTGGCTTCTCTATCAACAGAAGTTCCAAAAGTCTGGTAGTTGTTCAGTCTGTGAGGCTGGATATCTCAGCTTGTCTTCAATATACTTAATCCTGGAAAGGTAGACTCTAGAGCCAATGAAGGCATGGACTTGCTAGCAAGAGTGACAGCAAGCAGGCAGAGGTCAGAAGCTTCCTTCTTCCACGTCTTTACATAGGCTGCTGGAGAAGGCGTGGACCAGGTTAAAGATGGATTGTCC